TTCTATTTAGCTCAAACCAGGACAATATCTTATCCTGAAATCAAACAGTTTAAAACAGAGATTTCTGATAAACACAGTTTAGGGTTCTAATCCTAAAGTTTAATATGCTCTCCAGGATATTCTGGTCCTCATACTATTGGTCTATTTCAGTGACACAGGAAACACTTCAAATTTCTCTGAGTAGAAACCAGTCATCAGTTCATTTAAGAAAGAGGAGGAAAAAAAGTATTTTGAGCAGCAGCAATGGAACAAGCTGCAGTAAATACATGCACTGGCACTTGAAAGCCTGTAAAGAAATAAAGCTATTCTAAGGACACCTGTTTCTTTGACAGCAGCAAAAAAAAATAATTTTTTTTAAGCAGCAGTCAATTCTTTTTCTGTATCATTTTTTCTGTTAAGAAGTGGCAGGAGATTTTTCATTATTATCTTATTTAGGCAAGCTGAATATCTACTGACAGCCAGAAACAACTGCTGAAGAATAACAAGACCTAACACCCAAATTCAAAACAATGCCTGACCTCTCTGGCAATTTTCTTCCATTTATTGCATACGTGTTAATCATTTATTGGTGCACCAGCTTATAGTTTTTGGTCAGCACAGTGGTTCTCTCCAGCAGGAAACACAAGTTATGCTCTCTCAAGAAAGTATTGAGGGTGAAGGGAAAGAATTGCAATTATATCTCTGAACCTAAATGAAAAAATATTATAGGAAGATTATACAGAATCCATGAGATATTTTAGCATAGGATGACACTCCATAGGAAACTAAGCAAGAAGTGATACCTACCTAACAGAGCTTGGACAGATTCAGCCTTCACTAATTGGTGGGATGACGGCAACATTGTCTCCGGGCTGCAGGACCAGGAGCTGATCTCCAAGAAGCACATACTCCTGTCGAACAGCAAAAACCACTTAATCTCAGATGACAACAAGACTGAGGGGGATTGGCAGGAGCACAAATAGGTTTCTAATTAGAGTATTTGCATTTAACCATGAGATTTCATTAAACATCAAACTGGTACACGGTCTTAGGGCAGCTGAGGTAAATACCACTGAGACTTATGCAACTCTGCTTCCAATATACTTTCAAAAATATGGCAAACACTCACCTCCTACTCTTGGATTTTCTTATTGCGGCTAAGGAGAAACCCACTCAGTTTAATTTTCAAAAGTCAGGATTTGGATTTGTCATAGGCCTTTATAGACAAACTACATCAGAACTAACCAATGTATACCAGATCCACCTTAAAAGCTTCTAACAAAGTAGATAACTCAAGAGGATACCAACTATCCAATTTGAGATTAGAAGAAAATGTGCCCCTGATTCAGTCTGGCTGGACTGGACAGCAATTTTCTTACATAGCAAGAAGTGTTGGTGTGGGAACATAAGGGAATGAGGAAGTGTG